AAACAACCAATTGCTTTCAGCAATGTTGTAAACAAAAAGTGTCACAGGTCTGTTTGTTGGAGACATAACAAACTCAAGGCTGTCACTCTGGACCAACAAACTTACATTGTATGCACTGTATGTCTGAAAATTGACGGCTTTTCAGCAAATACGTGCAAAAAATAAAATATCGAAAAACGAAAGATACAAACTTCCAAATAAGTTTGTCTAAGTAAAACTTCCGACCTAACTTTGCTCATGCAAAGTTTTTTCCTTCCTTTACAATAAAGGGAGCACCATTCCCATGGAATGAGTTAACCCTTATTGTTGTGTCGGAAAAACGGTCGGTTTGTGTACGCGCTCTTTGGATGACTTCCAAATGCAGCTCGTCCATCTGCTGAAAAATAGAAAACGAAAAACCCCCAAAACACTTATGCCGATGCACAGTGAATTAAAATCGCAATAGGAACGAAGGAGACAGCACAGCGCTCTTTTTTCTCTTGGTGCAGAGGGGAAGGTGTCTTGATCCCGTTCTACTCAAAACCCCAGTTCTACGGATCAGACCCCTTCCAGAGCTCCAGCAACCTCTTCCCACTTAATGGGATATGGTTCTGCGCCAGCTTGTCTCAACTCCTTCGTTTCATCTGCTGGGGTTATGTGCAATATTGCTGTATGATGCTACTCTTGTGTGAAGGAAAAACGTTGCTCTTGGTCATCCAACCTGAGAGACGGAAACCACACGTGATTTCTTGAACCAGACGGGTGTCGGGAAAAGCCAAGTCCTCCAAAATTTCCGCGAAAATCCACAACCTCTTACCACTCAGGATTGTCCGCAAATGACTCGGCAAACTTGAATGCAGCTCCATTTCCTCAGGCTTCAGTTGCTTAGCTCTTCTGCGTCCATCGATGCAAGAACTTGGCTCTCAAATCCACTATTTCGAATTGATCCAATCTGAAGTTGTACTCTAATGCTTCAATGATCTCCCTTGTCAAGTGAATCGACATGGAGCGCGGATGACCTGCCTCAATGGCCCTTTGAAGGAAATCCCAAGGCTCACGCGGTATGCCCAAAGTGCACAGCTGTGCATCCATTGTAACACCCAGCTCGACTGATTGATCCAGAACGTCAATCAAAATCCGATCGTCATCTTTGGGCGAGACTGCACAATAAAAAATTGTTAAGGACCCTTCGACCCGGAAAACACCCCGTTTCATTCGTCGTGTTGTAATGGTTGTACCTTTTGGAAGGTGCTGCAAAAAGGAAGACAAGTCTACAGTGTCGGGACGCACTGCCAGTGTTTGATACGCCTGGAACTGACTTACCAAAGGGCGGAATTTCTTTCCTCTGGGCAGCATATCCAGTACCCACTTGTGAGATGTGGTGGGCAAAGTTTGGACTTGATGTTCCATCGTGTCAACTGCGTTCGCGCCTAGAGCCAATGACTTTGCCAGCAAAATGTTCGCAACCCGGGTACAAAGCAAATGTGGATAGGCTGCTTCCTCTGCAGTAGGAGAAGCAATCCTTCCATCGGCTATTTTGGGCGCCCAAGGTGCATGCGTGTGCTTTCCAGAACATTCCATCGCCAAGGAAACGTACGTATTGTCAGTACACCACCAGAGTGTCCTTTTCTGACGTCTGGAACCGTGCCTGCAGTTGTGGGAAACTGTGTTCACGCCGGGAAACTCATGCAAAAGTTGCGCCAGCTCTGGGTAAAGCCAAAAAAGTGAGGAGGGTTCTCAATTGAACATGTTATGGAATTTGCAAGGCAGAACTTGACTGCACGAACTGTCTGAGAGTAAACAATGTTAGCGAGTTCCGTCCGCACTTTGTCGGTGTAAGATAGGCCAGAACATCCAAGAGGCTGCGCTTTGGTGCGAAGAGGCTTTGGCACCTTGTATCCCTTTCGAGTCAGCTTGTTCAACTTTTTCTCCTTATGTTGGTTTTGTCCACAGGTAGACATTGCAGCCCCACGTCTCTGCAAGCCTTCGACAACCGAGCTGACCCAGCAAAAATCTCCACCACCAGCAAATCGCCCACGCGCCGATGAGAAAATCTCGTTGAATTCGTTGTGCCCTCTTTAGAGGATGCCGCACCATACACCTGGTTTTCTCCAGGTGCAATGAGCTGTTGCTTCAGCTCCTGCAGTTTTCTTTTCAAGAAACCGACATCTTGTGAAACCGGGGGGTTTGGCTCTTTTAGTCAGGATCCCCTCATGCGGCACGTCACAAGGCTATGGTTAGTCTTGTGGCACTTGATGCAACAATGAACCCTTTTCTTGCACCTGCCATTGCGCACCTCTTCCTTGCAGCCAGATTTCATATTGAAGGCCCAGCAAGTTGTCTGATTGGATGCATCTCGTTGTGGATACCCTTTGAGTTCTTCAGGACAGATGGTTTTCGCTATGGCTGAGGGCTTCCCACTCCTAGGTCTGTTGAACTTCGAAATTGACGGCGGAGTGACCTTACTAGAGCTTGCTGAAGACACCTGCTTGTCATTGTCTTTAGCTGAACCCTTTGGCAGTGGGAGCAAGCATTGTCACCCGAGGATCATTTCTCAAAGCTTTGAGCATCGCTTCCATAGGAAAATTGCCTGCTGCATCCGGTCGTAGAGATCCTTGAATCTCCTGGGCCATGACAGTGAAAAGCTCACGGTCGGCCCTCACCACCTGCGATGTAGTCACCCTGAAGAACCCAGCGGGTGGTTCAAGTGTGAGCTGACTGAGAAGTTGTTGAACCCAAAGCTCGTGTTCTGGATGCGATATCAAAGAACACTGATCAAAAGCCAATCCGCGCCTCTGCAAAGCCCATTGCAGTTGCAGCTCTGTGCTCGTGTCCACTGGTAGCGTCGGGCTTTGCGACGAGACTTTGACTAACTGCTGTTCCAAGGTCAAGGTAACAGGTCTCGCAATCTGGCCGCTTTCTCAGCTACTGGCAGCTTAGCTGGAGAGTCCCCCAATGTGTCTGCTGTGGTCTTGGCCTTCAACTCGGACATGATTGTGGTGCATGCCTCAAAATGAAGCCTCCTGATGTACGCCAGATACTTCAAACTTGGGTCGACTCCCGCATTTACACCCCTTGCAAACTGTTTGAACTCACCCTCTGAAGGAGGAGCTTGCGGTGTTCCTATGGCGAAAGCAACTGAACTCAGCGTGTTCAACCCTTGGGCTCTGAACAAAGCACGCAAATTTCCAGTTGGATCGATCCTGTTGCAGTGTTGCTCGAAAGCCGCTTCCGAATCACTAATCGACATGGCCGCAGGAGAGGTCGAACTCAACAAGCAAAAAGGCAAAACACGTGCAAACTGTGTTCGTTTTTCACGTGGGTCCTTCCGAACAAATAGGCTGTTAAATGCAAACATTTCCGTCCGAATGAAAGAAAACATTGAATCTCTTTGACTACATCAATATTTGCTTGCCTGACAATCTGAAAACTGAAGCCAACTCATGAAGTGCACCATTCGCATGAGTTCGGACTATCAGTCGATTCTGCAGGCCGTGTCAAGTGTTAATGCCGTCTGTTATCAAAACTCTCGGCGCTACACCTCTGTTTCAAAGAAAATGAAATGGCTACATTCCTCGCAGTCTAGTAAACTTCTCTGCGAGAATGCAGACTCAACGTTCTTGACAGTCTAGCCAAAGGCTTCTCTGCCAATTAATAGTGTTACCAAACTTTCAAGTATGTTTGCAGTCCGACTAACATAAAGTTTAGTCACTCTGCAAATCCCAAGCTGGTTACACCACGATACTAGTACGCCTGAAATAAAAACGGAAAGCCAAAACAGCGGACCTCTCTTTTTCTCCTTCAAGAGAAAATCTAAGATCTCAGCTGCCTGAAACATTGCTTGCATTTGGACGAGTCAAACCTAAGGGTTGAATCCAGAATCCTCGTGGCGCTGGTCGCTTTGCGACCACACGAAAGCACTGCAGTGTTCTCAGCAGCTGAAAGATGAAACATCTTTGTCGAGTCATTTTGCCACAGACGCAAACGTTCAGGAATCTTCACAACATGATGACCAATCACAGGTGACACCCCTTTTTTTCCCCCTTCCTTTTTCTTTTTTCTTTTCCTTTTTTGGGAAACCGATCATGGGCAGACCTGGATGGCTGTACCGTATGAAGCGAACAGTTGGCCTCATATAAGGCCTCACTGGTCTTCCCAGTTAAGAGCTAAAGGTGAGAGGTAGGAACGGCTTGGGATTCCTCATCAGGAGAGCTGCAAGCTCATCAATCGAACGAATGATGACATTGAGCTGGAGCCCTTCACCTTGTTCCCAATGAGGGCAAGTGCTTTTCAGGCGTCTCAGCAATTGGATTCGTGAGTCAGGGTTCGCCAGGAAGGGAAATTGGGTGCATCTATGCGCAATCTCTTCCATCATGGCCCTCCCTGACTATTATAGCAAAGGTGTCACTGGCGAATACTTCTTGGTCTGCATCGCTGTTACTGTCTTCGTCCTCATCCTCTGAGTTTCCTTCGCCCCGCATGATAACTGCTTGATGAATCAATATGGGAAATCCAGTGTGTCGTGGGGCCATTGATGTTACAAAGTGGAACTCTGGATAGTCATCTCTGAGCAAAATCCGGATATACGAGGTGTGTAGCATCCATATTGGGATTGTTGATCGCATCTGGAGAAGGCCTAATACTTTCGCGGCAGTGAAGTCATTTATATGTAGCCAATGTGTTCAAAAGTGTGAACATTGACCTCCCTGAAGCTTCAACAGTCAAGCAAAGTCGCGCTGCAACGAAACAACTGTGCCTGCGACTGCACCCTTTTGTCACTGAAACGTTGTGCCCCAGCATTGCCTCAGCCGAGAACAGCAACAGCCAGCAGTAGCCTGGCAGCGACGCAAGTTCACAAGTGTAGAAGACTGCTGCGCTGCTGAGGTGCCCCAAACTATGTGGCTCCAGCAGCTCCAGCTGGTAACGTGAATCCGTAGCAGTCTGCCCTGACAGCTGGGCGACGGCACAAAGTTGAAAGGCATCGGAACCAAGTGCTGGGCTTGGATTTTGCTGAATCTTCATCAGCGGCCGTCCTGCAAAGTCCGGCAAGGGGTGAGGTGTGGGGAATGGAACAAATGGGTGTTTTTGAGCTCTCCTCTTGGTGGTGAATGTTGATCTTGGATGCTGCAATGGTCAGCTTTTCCTTCTTCTCGATAGCCTCAAGCAACGCTCAGAGTATGACAACGGTCTCAAGCCAGAACGGACAAAGAGCCAAAGCAAACGGCTTCTGGGCGCACGGCTTCTTTCAGATCATCCACCTGACATCCCCGAGAAGCGTCGAGCAGCATTTCCGAAGGCAAAACAAAGCTGAAGGAGATCCTTTGCAAAGTGGCGCAGCTGAGGCGTAGGCATCTGAAACACTAGCAGTGATGTTGAACGCGCTGCCAATGGTCTCAGGCTCCTTGCCGTCCTTGCAACGCACAAGCACTGCAATCCCCCCTTTGACAGCTTTTTTTGAACATGAACGCAGGGCAGGCAAAACCGCACATGCTGGTAAGGCCCAGGCAGGGCTTCCCAGCTGACAGACCCACACCGCAGCGGATGGTTGCGAGGCAGCACTGCCTTGCAGGCGGCAATCCTATTGGTTTCCACTGGCCCTGAAACTGGATAAGCTCCAAAATCAAGCTTGAACACATCCAACTAGAAAGCAACAGTCCAATCCAAGGGGGAAGTACAAGAACTGGCAAGAAATGATGTGTAGGGCGTTGGTCTGACAGCGCCAAATGAATAATCCAGCGCATGGATTGTAGGGGAAATCTACTTTGAGACATTGTTTGCTTGAAAAGAACATGATCGGTCCAGCTTTGCTTGCAGCTATTCGTTCAAGAGCATGTCTGCTTACAAGCGCGCCATGAAACACGAAACAAGATGCAAGCCCAATGCAAAACCAAAAGCTTCTGATGCCAGTGGCTTAGAAAGAGTTGGCAAGGGCGCCGTTTTGGCAGGCTTCGTTCCTTGACCCAACACAATATCCTGACACTGCAAAAGGAAGGAAGGGCATCGCAAGAAAACATAGCATGTGGAACCTCACACAACGCTCCCATGCCTTGTGCCGCTTCTAGTGCCGCGGCTGCTTTCTGCTCAGCAATTTCCGCCTTCTCCATTGCCTTGCTCGCCCTTGCCAATGCTGTAGGCATGGCAGAATCTGATTGAAAGTAGACAATGTGCAGCTTGTTGTTCCGGAGCAAGCCCAGAACATTTGTCAGCCTAAGGCGTTGAGCCAGATTTTCTGTCTGGACGTGCAATGCTGCTCGGTTGAAAACGATCGCAAAGCCTGTAGTCTAAGAATCCATTGCGTCCAACCAGACCACTTTGGATCTCAATCTGGAAGAGTTTCATTGCAACAAAGCGGCTGTCGGAACAAACTTCCACAAGCACCCTCTCAACCTCATCGCACGTAGCACTGACCTTGACTGTGCAGAGTTCCTTGATTTGTTCAGCAAAGTTTCTGAAAGAACCATTGTAGACTGTGTCAACTTCGGCTTGCTGCTCTCCGACACCCGTTTTTGTCATTGCATCCCCCACGTGGTCAGAGACAGTTGTTCGCAGGAAATCTGCAACGGCAGCCTTGCATGTCTCCAAGCGATTTCGTTCCTGCGCTTCTTGATTCTGGACTGCACGGAGTGTCCGAGGACCACTACTGTAAAAAATGCTGGATATCATACCTTCATAGTTCCTACCGCTGACCTGACTGACGCTTGAGAAGGGCTTGGGGTTTCCGCGCTCATCAAGTAAACAATATGTTGGGTCAAGTGCTCGTGTCTGTCCTGGTTCTGCTGTGGGATGGCTGTGTAATGTGTAACGCTGCGCAGATTGCACAGGTTGCTGCGCAAACTGCACAGGCTGCGCAAACGGCCAAGAAGGTGCTGCTGAATGCCAAGGTTGCGCAAATTGCGCAGGAGGGCCAAAATGCAAGGGCTGCGAATACTGCCCTGACGGACCATAATACAGCATCTCAGATTGTGATGGATGTGCTGCCAATCGCCGAGGCTGCCAGTCCATGGCAAGGCTTCAGGTACAGAAAATGAATCTGTGTGAAAGGCATGCTGCCGGGTTTCAATATGCATCGAACGCGTCTGGATGAAGCTGCGCTCGATGTGTGCATATGCAGATGTCAAAGATTGAATTGTTTGACATCAACTCTCCTCTGTTGCCAGTAGGTTGCAGGAAATGGCGTACTGCACCGTCTGCTGAAGGACAACTTGCGATGTCGCGCTGCGTTGCGCGCCAATCATTTGCAAATCCAAGTGCAAGGCAAGCACGCTTTCCTCCACGCATCTTCAAACTGGTTGGTACTGCGTCCGCGCACTTTGGCACAGGGCGGAACGCCTCGGTGAAACAGCTGTTGACCAGCGCTGGCAACTGTTGCTGGTCCTGTACCCGTTGCAGGCATTCCCTGCTTGACTTGAACACCGCAGCCTGCTGTTCAAAAGTGTGAACATTGACCTCCCTCAAGCTTCAACAGTCAAGCAAAGTCGCGCTGCAACGAAACAACTGTGCCTGCGACTGCACCCTTTTGTCACTGCACGAGGTGAAACGTTGTGCCCCAGCATTGCCTCAGCCGAGAACAGCAACAGCCAACAGTAGCCTGGCAACGATGCAAGTTCACAAGTGTAGAAGACTGCTGCGCTGCTGAGGTGCCTCAAACTATGCGGCTCCAGCAGCTCCAGCTGGTAACGTGAATCCGTAGCAGTCTGCCCTGACAGCTGGGCGACGGCACAAAGTTGAAAGGCATCGGAACCAAGTGCTGGGCTTGGATTTGCCACGGTCGACTGCTGAATCTTCATCATCTTTCACCCAGCGGCCGTCCTGCAAAGTCCGGCAAGGGGTGAGGTGTGGGGAATGGAACAAATGGGTGTTTTTGAGCTCTCCTCTTGGTGGTAAATGTTGATCTTGGATGCTGCAATGGTCAGCTTTTCCTTCTTCTCGATAGCCTCAAGCAACGCTCAGAGTAAGACAACGGTCTCAAGCCAGAACGGACAAAGAGCCAAAGCAAACGGCTTCTGGGCGCACGGCTTCTTTCAGATCATCCACCTGACATCCCCGAGAAGCGTCAAGCAGCATTTCCGAAGGCAAAACAAAGCTGAGGTGATCCTTCGCAAAGTGGCGCAGCTGAGGTCGCTGCGTTTGCCAAGACACCTTTGACCTGAAACGCATTGCCAATGAACTCCTCGCCGTCCTCGCAACGCACAAGCACTGCAATCCGGTTCAGTCGACCCTTTGACAGCTTTTTTTGAACATGAACGCAGGGCAGGCAAAACCGCACATGCTGGTAAGGCCCAGGCAGGGCTTCCCAGCTGACAGACCCACACCGCAGCGGATGGTTGCGAGGCAGCACTGCCTTGCAGGCGGCAATCCTATTGGTTTCCACTGGCCCTGAAACTGGATAAGCTCCAGAATCAAGCTTGAACACATCCAACTAGAAAGCAACAGTCCAATCCAAGGGGGAAGTACAAGAACTGGCAAGAAATGATGTGTAGGGCGTTGGTCTGACAGCGCCAAATGAATGATCCAGCGCATGGATTGTAGGGGAAATCTACTTTGAGCTTTGAGACACTATTTGCTTGAAAAGAACATGATCGGCCCAGCTTTGCTTGCAGCTATTCAAGGGCAACCTACCCGGCAGTGGTCCACAAAACAAAAGTGAGGAAAGCAACGCTTGAGGACCGCTGCAAATCCCATTTGCTTTGCAAATTGGGGTGCGGCAATTGAAAGAGAGACCATACGAGAAGGAAACCAAACACAGACATGCATGCATTTCTTGCAGATTCTTAGTCCTTGCGAGGTTAACAGGTCCAAACTGAGTCGGTGCAATGCCTCGCATGGAGCCAAAAAACGTGTTCAGCACATTGCTTCCAAGCTGCTGGGCTCACATGCTTCAACGTAAACCTTGATACAGTTGCGCAGGTAGCTTGTGGCCGGGATGAGCACCTGCGTCGTGCTTCTGTTGCTGAACATGTCATCCTTCAAGTCTTGGTCCAAAAAGGTGGTCGTCTCTCTGTTGATGACGCCGCCGAAGTTCTTCTTGGCGATGATGCGGGCGCCCTTCTGGCTCTCCGTCTCCCCGTCTGCGCTGCCTTCCTCGATGGGGGACCACCCCTGTCGCGCAAGGTTCTCCAAGTGTTCACGGGTGAGCGGGTCTTTGGCCAAACCAGCCAGCCCGTCTGTACCTCGGACGCTGAAGGGGTCGAAGGAGTCTTCTGCACCAAGCTCGAACTGCTCAAGAAGCTTATCGATTGCCTGCTGGCAGAGAAGTATGTCGCCGCCGAAGATCATGTAAAACTCCTGGCAACGCGAGTGAAACAAACTCTGGCATCGACCTCGAACATCCGTTGTTTTTTGGTACGTGCGTGTTTGTATTGCCGTTCGTGTCAGAACTAACTTGTGATGCGCACACGCAAGCAAGCCTACGTTAACCAAAAACCCCAAAAACGCTCCTCCGCCACATCCCGAGGCAAACCCCACTCTGTCAGCAAAGCCAGCATTGGCTCCCTTTCAACCTCCGGAATCACGATTGTCTGAAGGGCATCGAACTTGTTGAATCCAAGTGTTTCTAGGCCCCGTGGGAAGGCGAAATCGGAGGCAGGCAAGATGACGCAAGCCTTGCAGCTTTCCTTTGTCATTGCCACAAAGGTGGCAAGGGCCCGTGAGGCTGCTTCCCTCTTGGATTTGCTGTCTCCATTGCCATTCGTGTTCGGAAAAGCAATGTTCGCTTCGTCAATGATCATTGTCGGGATCTGTTTCATTGCAACTGCCGCATCAACAAAAGCCCCGAGAAACTCTTGCGGCTTGGGCACATTCAGCAATTCGGAAAAAGCAAGTTCCACTCCACCCTCCGCATCACCCTTCTTCAAGCTCTCCTTGCCAACTACTCGAGCAAGGGCAATCATGACGTCAGCCACTTTCCCCGCCCAAGGGGGCACATTCTTTGCACTCCAGAGATCTTTGGCTTTGGCTTGAAGGCATTCCAAAGCATCCGTTGACTCGGGCTGGGGTGGGTGGCGCATGTTGACGTAGAGCAACGGGGAGTAAGCGGCGACAACTTGACCCATCTTTTGCATAATCTTGGTCTTGCCAAGGGACTTGCCTCCAATGACAAGGTACAAGCCCGATTTTTGCATAGCCTGACCAGGGTTTTGCGAGAAGGTCACCACCAAACAACACAAGCTTACTTTGTACTCAGCAAAAACAAGGAGCTCAGGCCTTCTGCAGTGCTTTGATGAAGCCAGTTCGTCCAGCGATCTGGTCGCTCTTTTTGTAAGTCTGCTGCCGCGCTGACCCCTTGCAAGTATTCAATGTCACTGATGCCCTTGTCTTGGGCAACTTCATGCATGCGCTTTGGGATGTTGAAGGTCACGCCGTGGAAGCCGAAGACCAAGAGGAAAGGCAAAGCGACCGCAAGGCGCCTGTAGCGAGCTGAGGCGCTGCGTTTGCAAGCCATGATCCTGGGCAATTGCAATTGTTTTTTTCTGGTGCATATCAAAACCTGAGGTGCGGATGGCTGATGCTTCCGGAACTGCCTTCAACATTCCATAGATCTGAACTGTTCTCTTGTTCTCAACTTGAGCCAACGGCGGAGAAACGCTGATCACTCCATTTTATTCAACCCGCATTCTGCTTCCCAGACCCCAGGACCAGGCCGCAACTAGCCATAAAATCGAAACAGGACCAGTCCCCAAGGCAAACCCCCCGCCAAAAGGCCACCAGTCTTTGGATGCACTTTTGCCCGCTAAGCGAAAGCCCAGCCGAGGGAAACTTTAAAGACAAAGCTGTGGACGCAATGAGGAAGGTCTTATCTTACGTTAGAGGAAAGCAACTACCTGGCTTTATAGAGGAAGTCAGCAGCAAGATATGCCACGCAACAAGCACGAATAGCCTGGCAAATGGATTGCACAGTTCGTTCTGCATTGCAAGAAAATGCGAGCAAGAACGGGAAGGACGCACGACACGCAAGAAGTTCGGAGACACCGCCCAAAAATGCGAAACATGAAAACCCGCAAGCGGCCCACGCTTGCTGGGAGCTGGCACCTTGACGAGGCCCTGCCCCAAACCCCCGGCAGTCCCAAAACGCATGCCCGCTCCCGCAACTAATTCTCGCCCCCGAAGCGCTCCCAAGACTTTCCAAACGTACCCTGCTTAGTGAAGCCCTGCACCAAACCCATTCGATGAGCCTCCTTCCTCCATGAAAACTCGTGAATATGAACCTGCTGGAACTTCAAGGTCAACCAGCGAAGCAAGATGACCTGTCAGGACACAAAGCTGACTGACTCGGACATAAGTTGACGGCATGTGGCTTGCACAGCTTGATGAGACGCTGCCCCAAACTCGCTTGATGCTTCCCTGCCCCAACCCACAGCACCCTGCTTGATGCGTTGCTGCCCCACATTTCATTTCTTACTCCTTCTGTTGGCGCTTGTTCGGCACCCTGCCCGTTCAGCACACCGCGCTTGCTCAGCCCCGCTTCTCAAAAACAATAATCACTCCCCTGCCAGCTGCCGCTCCTGCAACATCAGCCCCAAGACGTAGCAGCAGCTGGCAGGTCTCAAAAAAATGTTAAAAAATAGCGTGATGTGTAAGCAGCGACAACGAGGTCCAACCTCTCGCCGATGCACTCGTCGATCCGTTACAAGGGGCACGGCTCAGGACACCTGCAAAACTTGGGGGAGCCTTGGGAAGAAGGACCTGGCACAAACTCAATGATGGGACGCGGGCCCTGGCATGTGGACGACAGCATAATGAAACCGGGAAGGATCTTGAAAAACCCAGGTTGCCTGAACACCTGCACACACCTGCCCAGTTCCAACAACAGCAATCTTGGGGACAGCACCACCAGCATTGTCCAGCCAAAAAACTTTCGTGCTGTTTCCCGGACACGCGCTCACTGTTGCCAATCTAGAACAAAAACAAATATATTCCGCGTTTCAAAGGGGAGGCAAAAAGGGCTTTCCAAATGCGCCTTGTTGCGCTTGCAACTGCACCTGCGCTTGCCGCAGCGCCAAACC